GGAAGAGAAGAAAAAAATATATTCAGTTACAAGCACCTTAACTCCAGTTAAATAGTGAGTGGCATGCCAAGTCAACCGCCCCCAAACCATCTTGGATAGATGAAGAAATTAAAAGATCATGAGGAAAAACACCATTGCGTACGGGCTTGTTGTGGTTACATTTTCATGGCGTCCAAACAGGTTTTGTCGGTTCTTCCAACAATACCGTAGGATGATACAACTTTCAAACTACCTGACATCTTGTGGGGAAACTTTCCAATTTGTTTTGTAGAGGAACTCTCCAAGGTAGGGCCGCCAACGATTAAAAAAAAAAGGCAAGCTCAAATTTACCGCTGGGGCTTCTGGCCTGCCTGCTGCCCAGCAGCAAAAAAAGATACTGTACTGACAACACTGCTCTTTATGAGACACAAATTATTCTTAGCCAGGGGCTTTTGATTGGTCTGTGATCTGAAAAAGAGATACTGTACTTCCAAATTGCTGTCTGTGCCCAAAGATAGCAAAACAGAGGTCTTAATACTAGACTTTACACTTTTTGCCCTGGACTCTAACACCTATTTCAAATTCTTACTTACATTTCAGTCAGAGGATTCCTTCCTGGTGCATGCAGGAAATTATTCTAATTATTCAGTTTGTAGAGGGCATCCCTTCCCACTTCTGCTCTCAGGGTGTCTGTCTTTCAAAAGAATAAAAAATAAAATAAAAATCTAGACATTCTATGGCTTGAAGGTGGAATGACAGACAGGCACACTGGAATGAGACACTTCAAGGAAGCCCAAACATTATCCTTGATACTTCTTAATTACCATTACTGCTCTTGACTCTTTTTAAAAACTACATTTTGGACAGCACAGATGAATGCATCAGGCTTAATCACGTCTAATAGCAATCTCCATTTGTTTGGTCTTATTTATTTGTTTGTTTGTTTGTTTGTTTGTTTGTTTGTTTAACTTATATGCTGCCCACACTACCCAAAGGTCTCTGGGCAGCTTACAACAATTGTAAATTTTTAAAACACTGAAAGAAGCCTTTTGAATATTTTGCTTCTTCATTTCCTCTGTGTAGCATGTTCAGTCCATAGCTGGCTGCATGATGAAGTTTCTACTCATAACTGCTGCATGCCGCATACTTCTTTGTCACTCTAGTCATGCTAGGACAATGTGAATGTAATGGGAACAAAATAGTTATGAGTTATTGAATAAACATTGCTTTGCAATGTGATGCCCAGGAGAGTAATCCAAAATAATAGTCTTGCTGTTACTTGTTATTGCTGTTACTTGTTACTGACTTCTGCTAACTTAGTCCACATTGATAAATACAGTATTTTGCAGAGTTACTTAAAGAGTTACAAGAGAAGGCCTTCCCTTCAAGTAGCTTTCAAACTAAATTTTAATTGAGTAAAAGAAAATGAGAGAGGGGATGAAAAGAACAGAAAAACTACAAAGTTTGCACAGAGCAATAGAGGACTCATGGGTAATTGCCTAGCCAAAAGCAGACATCTGTGCACTTCTGTTCGTCTGGTTGAGTGCTTTATGCACAAAAATGTGCTGAGCAAGATAGTAACATGGGTCTTCATGTGTTCTTTAAACAACAACTCTGAGATCAGTTTCTAAAGCTCATATTACCTCAGGAGGTGGAATAGAATAGACTTAAACTAGGCCTGGCTTGACCTGCCTCCTGTGTACAGCATAGATGAATGCTCAGCCTAGCAATAAAGCTACTGAGCAAAATAAACTAGAGTACTCTGCTCATCTTCGTCTTTTGGACAGACTTCTGTTTGCCAATCTGCACATTCCTTCAAGCCACACAAAGATCTTATTTAGACAAAGTTAAAGATAGAGCAAGTTCTGTAATTCAGACTTGGAAAAGGAAGCCCATTACCTTTAAATATAACATTTCAGTTATATTCGCAAGAGATACACGGTCCCGTTTGTATAGAAAGGATGATTCAAGGGGCAGACATTTCAAATGTATTGTGCATTACCATCTGTCACATACTTTTGTTATAAGACCAATAATAATTCCTAGTATGTTTACATAATGTAGAAGTTTAAACCATTGTGTATTGTTAGCTAATGTGTGTTGCCTTCAAGACATCTGCGATGTACAATCAAATTCTATGAAGACATTGTTAATGATATTCAGAGACAGGCAAAGGCACAACCTTGCTTTAAACTAAGGGCTTCTTGGATTCCCTTCTTTTCCTTAATTAGCCAAATGATATAAAAACTAGTACAGAATGTTTCAGAAGTCTGTTGATAATGCCTTGGCAAAGAACTACTGCCTTCACTGTGGCAGTCCACCTTCTTCTCCGTGTAGCTTTTCCAGATGGTTCCTGTATGCTCAGATTCCCACTGAATCACATCCATTCTGACAGAATAAGATATGAATTTAAATGGACAGTAAGTTGCTCTTCAGAGCAGCAGTAATTAATCCCACTCTCTGTTTGTGTTTATCTCCCAGCATCCCTTGATTATGAACTCTCTGTAAAAAGGCAAGGTGGTTTTTTGTTTTTGTTTTTTTTTGTTTTGTTTTGGTAGTTCTCAGGAAAAGATGACTATAAAGTTTACTGCTTCTTTAATTTGCTGTTTCATTTCATTTGATGACCAAGAATATTAGGATAAAATTGTCTTTTAAAAAGTGAGCAAAATGAATTCTCTCAGTAATACAGAAAAGCTTCAGAATGTGTAAAAGCAATAAATCAGGGAAAAAATGGTGAGACTTGGCAAACGCAAAAGAAGGCAGCATAGGAAGAAATCTTTTAAAAAATTCACCACCAGCAGAGTGAAGCAGAAACATTTTTGTATATATATATGTATATGTAGTTGCATATGCAGACACACATATTCAGAGACATTTTACATGAGAGAGAACGGGACCTGAAATGCCATTTCACTTAAAGAATTATGTTACCCCCTCATCAAAGAGAACTTAAAGAATTGACAGATTGCCCAAAAATCATCTTTGGTATTTAAACAAGAGTTATTGTCTGTTTTGTGACAGGCACATTCTATTCTGGCATTTGTGTCTAACAAAGCTTTCTGAGTCATATATGCAAAATAAAATGACACATGGTGATCTGTGTTGTTTTCTACAGAAAACACATATTTCTTTCCTAGCAAATTGTGGATGTTACTGTTAGTGCACTGTCATACATTCCATTGCTGAGAATGTAATGCTTTTGTTGTCACTCATTAGCCAGCTTGAGCAAGGGCACAGCACCTGCATGCAGTTCCATTTAGGGCTGCTGCCTTCCAACCCTAGTTGTTCATATTAAACAACTGTAGTTGGAGAGGAGATACAGATGTTTCTTTTTTTAAAACTTTTTTTATTTTAAAACAAAAACAATTACAACAACAAAAATACAAAAATAAAAATAATAGTGCTGTTTGAGACTACATTCTAACATGCACCCCATACCCATGGGACCCCATTGAACAATTTTTATTGCTGATTTCCTTTCCAAAATTGTATAGATTGTTGTTTAGAGGCTTTCCCCTTTCCTTTCACAAATACAAATTCAAATCTACCCCAAATACAATAAAAATATTAGAACTTATTTCCTCTCTTTTCATCTTAAATTCAGTAGTCAATTTATCATTTAATGCGATGTCCCATACTTCACTATACCAATCTTCTAATTTAATATCATTTTTGTCTTTCCAAAACCTAGCTATTAATATTCTAGCACTTGTCATAAAATTGTTGATCAATTCCTTTGATAATAATCCAAAACCTGACAATAAAGCAATTTTAACATTAAATTTGATACCTTTTCCAAATATATCACATATTTCCTTTAAAATTAGTTTCCAGAATTTCTTAACCTTTTTGCAATTCCACCACATATGATAATACATACCAATTTCCTCATCGCATTTCCAACAAGCTTTAGAGTATGCAGAATTTATTATATTCAATTTTACAGGAGTCAAATACCATCTTAAACAGATTTTTTTTAAAAAAAATCCTTTATTCTTATTGACATTAATCTTAAAACTCTCATCCTCCACATTTTTATCCAATCCTCTGTTTTAATTTCTGTCTTTAAGTCATTTTCCCAAATTAATTCCAAACCTTCTGTTCCCCATTCTTTTTCCTCTTGTTCCAAAATTCTGTTATATATTCTACTTATTACTCCCTTCAACATTAGATCTTTCTGCATATCTTTATGTGATGACAGAAATTGTTCGTACTTAGTACATTCTCTACATTTACCATTAGTTTTCAACCAATCTTTTGTCCAAGTATCTAACTGAATAGAATGGCACTATGATAGTTTATTAGTTTGAAGTTTAATCATAATTAACTCCTTCGATCTCATTTTACTCATCCAGTCCGTCAGTCTTGCAACACTTTTGTCCTTAAACAATTCTACTAAACCTTTTAAGTCTGCAGGAAAACTTTCTATTTCAGTCACTAATTGTAATGGTGAAGTTGAGGGGCACAGCTTCTCTTTATATTTATTCCATATATTTAACATATTTCTTAAAAAGGGGGGTTTCATCTGATTTATTGTATTTCTCTTTACTTTAAACAAGTACCTTTCAGCATTCCCATTTATTTCAGAAGATTCCATTTCCTACCAAATTAATTTTTCTTTATTATATATAATGTCTGCTATAAATCTTAATTGATTTGCTATATAGTAAATTTTTAAATTAGAGATACCTAAACCTCCTTTTTGAGCCTTATACCAATATCTTTTATTTATTCTAGATTTTTT